GCTAGCGACTGTATACTCGAAAAAGCAATGTTGCCAGTTTTTCTCATTAAACCATGTTCGAATCGTGGAAATTTTGGAAGATCACAGGGTTGCTTTTAGCATTTAGATTCTTAATGCAAAAATGGAGCTGCATTTAGTTGCATTTAGGTGACGAATTTTGTATGGATAAATGGACATTTAGAGTAGCATTTAGAGCTAAATGCACTAAATGTGCTTTTACGCATAAGCAAAAACAGCCCATTACCGATTGGCACAGGCCCTAAATATGACTATGAATATGCGCCATCGATGTAAGTAGTTCATTTAAAAACATCGATGAATCGATATTTCCATCGATGTTTCTCCAGATCTATTTGAAAACATTGATGCATCGTGTGCATTTTTAATTCGATGCTAAATTAAGTTATTTTCTGGGTTATTACTATTGGGTTCCATGATGATGATTCCTGCAATAGTTCCTCTCCGCCATTTTCTTTGTACGCAAAACGGATGGCGGTATCTTAAACTAATTCATAGAGAAGGAATTAGAAAGAGTCATGTGTGAGTGGGTTAGTTATTCTCTTCAAATTTTGTGTTATGTAATAATCTTTTAAATAGAGTTTCATACCGAGTTGTTCCAGCCAAACAGTCGAAAATTACTACAGTGGGTGCCGAAGTTGTGGGAGCAGCAATGTGGTGGTGGATATTGTGGCATTTGTGGCATGAGCATGAACATATCACGGTAATATCTCATTAAAATTTTTGCTTCAATGGGAAAAATTTAGTGAAAATCGACAAGAAAAAAAGTAGGATCTGTAGGGGGAGAGAGTGGGGGCGTATTTTGGGTTGAGGTTTCAATTACGGAATTCGTCATCTATATATAGTATAAAAGAATGTCGAGATTTTTTGTACGCGGTAATCTCGAAAACTACTGAACGGATTTTGACGAGATTTTCTCTATAATAATAAGACCTTTTACTTTGTTGAGATTGCCATCTCGTGCATTAATTAACAATCCTTGATCCAGCTGCGCTTTCTTTAAAAGCTCTATCATATCTCCTTTAGTAGCTAAGTCTAAAGGTGTTTTATTATTCTCATCTTTACCTGTATCTATCGACAGGAGAGTGAACTTTCCTACTTAGAATTTTAATATGGTTGCCTAAACCTAACCTGTCTAAAAAATATAAGATCCGCACTGTTCATTGGGTTACAAAAGATGAGAGTCAAATGAAAGGGATTGCACGATGTCCTTGAACCAGATTCAACTGAATCGGTTTGGAACGATGGAATTTCCGATTAGACTATTTTCGGGTTTTCAGCTGACATTTCCGCATTGAACTAGAGTATAAATAAGACTGTATATGAGTAATTTTTTAAATATCAAGCCCTAACCGCCAAAGTAACGCAAACGACATTTTTTTCAAATTTTTCTTTTTGATGCAGAACCATTCCTAGAGCATCTAGATGCATTTCGGGTACTGTTTATGAATTTGTACAACGATTTTGGGTTGCTGTGCCCAAACGCGTTAAACGAATCAAAAAACTTTTACACACACTTGTAGACAACAGTTCACGCTTTATTACAAAAATTTAATTTACTAAATCTGTGCACTAATTTAACAATAATGTCGGTTGGAGATATGGTATTTGTTCCAAATTTTTGTTATAAATTTGTATATACATTTTTATATACAAAATATTTTTATAAAACACCCAGTAACCAAAATAGACATCACTGGGGCGGCAGCCCCAGGTTTACCACACAGAAACGGAATTCTAGTTACCTCATCTTTTCCCAAGGTTACATCACAATGTCACAGAAAGGAGAATTCTACGTAGTAAGGGTTATAATCGCTAAGCGCGGCCGAAGGCCGCCTACGCAGAAAGGTGTTCTCTGCAAAAGGTGTTCAGCCCTCCTTCGGACGCAAGTTTAACTTTGTTTTTTCCTTGCAAAAAATCTAAAATTCCCCTATTTTCAAACAGCTCCCCAGAGGTCTGTGGGAGGGGTTGGGGGGAGGGGAGACTTTTCATAAAGTGGCGTCAATCCTCTTTCGGTTAGGGGGGGACTTGTGGGGCCCACACCCCACACTCCTCCCCCTCTACCACACCCCTAAATCGTTGTACAAATAGCTAAACATTTCCCTGCATTTCTGCATTAAAACGAAAATTAAAAAAAAAAAAATAATTACGTTATTTTGGCGGTTACAGCTCGATATGTATATACATGTACATATACCCTGTGGGGAATTTCGTAGCCGTCTACTATAAAAGCCAACTTTTTGTCCACTTATAACGGCCAACTTTTATCTGGTTTAAAAAATTTTAACTATAAACACTTATTACTCTATAGGTATTCTTTTATTAGTTAGCTTATTTTCACTTAATAATATAAACTTCTATTATCGTCCGGGCCCGCTTTAACTCAAAATTTTTTTTATAAATATTTAAACGAATTTCCAACGTTACACTACATACTTGCTCAGTGCTTTTGAGAAAATACCAAATATTTTCGCAGTATGTGGAGAATGTCTCTTTTGTTATATAAAAACTTCGTCTAAAGCATCGTATATACTTACAAGTATGGAATCCTTCGCCCAGCCAAACAGCGGACGTGCCTGCCAAACTGAAAAGCATGATGGCGGCAGTGTTTTTAATGTGGTTAAATACGCTTTTTTATTAAGTTAAAAATAATACATATTTCGCCAACCAAAAACTGTATAAATAAATATATAGCATCTTGCTATAAGATTTATTTATAAAAACGGTATATACTTATGGCCTTATTCATAAAAAATAGAAATAGATTTAAAAAGCTCTATACAGTAATATTCAAAAAAAAAA